AATAGGGAGAATAGCTGTGTGTCTGTAGTCTTGCTGCCTGTTCGGATCTGTTAGTACTCATGTAAAGGTTACATCCAATCCAGATTCAGACCAGAGTGTGCCATTTGAGTAGCAAATAATTTTGAAATAGTGTCCATATACCAAAAGCATGAGAGAACTCCTTTCATAATCTATTTTAAGCCTTGCTCCTGCAAGGAATGAGAAATCGCACTGAACTCAAGGAAAATATGTGCAACTTGGCTTCTGTACTAAAATCTAGTATGTATGTATATTTGTTGAATTTTTAAACATTGTTTCAGAGTGAGAGCGCATCATGAAAACTAGATTGAGAAAATCTGATATTAAATTTATCATGTGCTGTTCTGAAATGCTTTTTTTTGGAAAAAGCCATAGCTCTTCTTTAACATGCGAGTTTATTTTTCTCAAGTGAAACCTCTTCACCTGAGAATTAAAAAAAAAAAGGAAGAGATTCTTGGTTTCATTTGAAGGGTTCGGGCTATTGTGTAATTCTCAATAGCATTAACACACAAGTTCTACAAATGGCATTATGCACTTCTGTTCTTTCCACCTGAGCAGTTCATCTGTCTGAGTGGCCATTATCTCTTGAGAAACATTTAAGTGGTCGATGTCATGTGCTGGAGAGTTTCTCAGTATTTGCTGCGTCCTGGTTACATGGAACCCAATTCTGTGCTACTGCTTCAGTTCAGGGAGTAATTTCAGTTTAGGGGCTTTATCTTACGTTCTCTCAGTTTCTTTATTATACAGTTAGAGTCCGGTCTTGGGCGAATCTCAGCTGTGATGAAACCAGCAAGCTTTAACAATGATGGACATGTAGGTTGTTGGAATTTTTTTGCTTGTTAAGAAAGCTCATTCAGAAAATCACTTAATGACACAAAGCTGTGAGTAGAAAGTGCAGCATTTAAGGGAACGAGTCACCTGGACTTGTGTTGGAATGAGCTTCAGGACTTCATTTCAGGAGTGAATGAAGTGGGTGTGTGTTGTGTTCTTTTTTGTCTGTTTGTTTCTCTCTCTCCCGCCCTCCCTTTTTTTTTTTTTTAATTAAAATGAGTGAAGGACTGCTGCTGTATTTAAACAAATGAAAAAGATGTGAAGGATGATCTTCTTAACTTTTACTTTTTTGTACCTTAATAGTTAAATCTATGTAAACCTATCTAGGTACACAAATTATTTTTCACATGCATGCAGGATAGTATTCAATCCATATTGATTGCAGCAGGCACTAGCAGTCTTTCTCTAATATTAAATCAGTGTATGACAGCAAGTAATCATTTGGGTTTTGAGCCTGTGGATATTTGCCTTCATGGTAAATAAGGGAACTCATAGCAGAACTGACCTCTGATTTCTCTCTGCATAGGTAACTTTATTGGACAAAACTGTGTGTTTTATATCGTCAAAGATATTAATACTCAAAAGTAACTATACAAACAGGTTCCCATCACAAATTGCAGGAGCTTATAATAGTAAATAAAGTTTCTAGCTATTGTTTTCTTCTTCTGTAAGCAGAATTTGGTACCTTGCAAGTTAAAAAGGGTGGGAGCATCAGGTTCTCGGAGTAACATTAATTGTTTTCTTTTGGCTATAAATCTGGGAACAAAATGATTAAATAGACTGGAGAAGAGGGGAAAACTCAAATAAAAAGGCACTTACATTTATTGCATTTTGCAGGGTTGTTTTCAGGAACAACGTATGTCTCTTGAGACTTTGTTTCTTATCCATTTTATAGAGCTCTGGCCTTTTAACAGCACTGCTTTAATGACTTTTTCTTGGGGTTCTGAGTTGGTATCAGCGCTTGCCATGAAAACAAGCCTGTTACAAAGAGGTCAGGTTTCACGAGACAGCAATAGACTTGTAAAAACAGATTTTACTGGAACAAATAAAGTCAGAATTAAGAAGAAACCAGAGATTTGCGTAAAGAAACAAGTTATAGAAGGAGCAAGTACTGAGCTAAACTGATAAACACTGTATAAATTTAGATGAGAGATAAGTAGGGATTTTTTGTTTCTAAAACTACATTTTATGATGTTAATGAGTTTTTCTGAAGATTTGGTGCGGTTCTCTGTAGTTCTGACTTTCGCTATTTTTAAAGATCGATTTTCTGAGGAAATGCATTACGCCTGCTCAGGTGGGAAAATACTCTTTAAATATCAGCTTCAATTAACAACTTGCATTGGATTTTCTAACTACTGTAGCTGAATCTGTTCTTGCTGGCTATCATGATGACATTTTGTGTTCTGTGAAATACTGGTTTTCCTCAGTTTCTTTTGTAGTTCTTGAGAGTCTCACTTCTGTTTTTAATCTTCAGCTGTAATGTACCGGATGCATGGAAATAAATCATTCTTTTTGTATAGATAAATGAAAACCTAATATTGTGTTTCTGTTGTCTTACTCTGTCCCTTTAAATAATTGTACCAATGTAAGAAAATTCTGGGAGTGATTTTTATAGTTTCTATGGAGACAAAACTTTAAAAGGTGTGTAAGAGCTTTGTTCTGATAAGACACTATATCATTACCTTTCTGCATTGTTAAAATGGTCCTTTCTTATGTCACTGGCTGTGTGGTGCAGCTGTGCTACGTGATGGCTCTGAAACCCGTGTTACGTTGATTTCTGTTGTTCTTGTTGTATATGACTTTGTTACATTCCTAGAGATCTTATTTTGAAAGCTAAGCACGCTTGCCTGGTTTGCTATGTCATATTTTCACTAAATAAATGAAGAATGCAAAGCACTTTATTTTCTGTTAAAAAATCTTGTAAGAACCTCACCAGGGAAATATTAGTCTGACTCCAGGTGAACACGTTTTCTGTGTAGAGGGGAATTAGAATGGAGAAGGAGGGAAGGGAGGAAGTTTTTTTTTTTCTTCCCCTTTTTCTCACTTGCTCTCTTCTGTGGTGGAAAACTACAGAAGAGTTGGACGGCATCAAATTCAGCAGAAAGCAAATCCAGAAATATCAGAGTTTTGGGAATAAGATTGTATATGTGCAGGTGTTTTGACTTGCACTGAGTCTGTCTGCTCTGTGAAGATGAACTTCTGTTGGTAGGCAAAGAACTATTAAGTGTCTTTGTTTCTTCTGATGATTCCTTAGCAACTGAAAGAAAATCTGTTTAAGGAGAGAACTACTTTTTGTCTCCCCTCAACAGGTTTTAAATGCAAGACTTGTGTTGTAACATCTTTATGCAAGTTGTGCGGTTTTTTCATTTGTTCTTGAACTTGGTACTGCTCGTAAATGAAAAAGTGGAACATAGGGAACTGGGTTAAATTCTAGTGGTGAGAGGCTGGCTCTGTCTGCAGTGAAGGTGGGTGGGGAACAGGCTGCAGAGTGTGCTGGGACTGTGGGGACCCACTGCCAAAAGCACCGGACTGGTTATAAAAATGGATGCCAGCAGCAACTTCTGCTTGTGTCCTGGGCATCTGAATGACATCTGAGGTGCCAGACCTAGTTTCCAACAGGCACGGTGTTTGCATCATGGGGCCACAACTCCTTTCAGGTGATTTTGCTGTACAAGGCAGTTTGGTTGTCTTGTTAATCACAGTCTTGGGGAGGTTTGTTCACAAAGCTGCAACACTTTAACTCTGCTGGTATGATTAGGAGCGCTCAGTCCTGTTGTCCTGATGCAATTACGGGAATGCGGTGCAAAAAAAGGATTGATCCTGAGACATGAAATAGGTATACTAGTAATAGACATCTTTAGGTTAGGTAGTTGGGGCCATGTTAGGAGTTAATTTGTGCATGGAGGGGAAAGAAACTACGTAGTCACACTTTCATCACACTGCCATGTTAATCTGTTGATGCTATGCAGTAGCATTAAAATGACAAGGGATGGGGAGCATTCATTAGAATGCTTGGTGTGCATCAGTACTGTGGGCATCCTCTACGCAAAAGGATATTGCAGTTTGGAGTAAATGGGTTGGAAAACCATTTTAATTAATAAAAAGTGAAATAGAGGAATTATTTCAACACAAAACTGGTTTATCTATAGAAATAATGTTTTATATAATTTATACAAGAGTAGAAATTCATGTGAAATCTGATTTTTTAAAAAACAAATCAATACCATTGAGTTTATGCAGAGATTGTGCATATGTGTGTTATGGAGTGTGGAATGTGTGTGGAATTACTTGAGTTGCAAGTTGTCCAAAGGGATTTGCCTCTGAAGAGCTGTTCTTTCTGTTAATTATGTTGTAAGTAGCAGTAAATGGAGCAATTAATTAGAGGGGTTTGTATTCCTTTCCCTTTGGCTTTTATTTTCTGAGCAAAGAAATCCAACTACTGATCAATTTCTTAGCTGTCTGTTAGCTGGAAGGTATTTATTGATCTGCCACTTCAATTGGCTGAATTTTGTGAACCCCTTAAGTTTATATTGATGCTCTGTGCATCAGACATCCTGTCAGTGACCACTCAGTGTTGGGATGAAAGTGTTCTTACGTGATTAAACTTATTTTGAGATCTTTTTTGGTTTTGATTTCTTTTTAATTGTGAACTCGTACAATTATCTAAATGCTTTTACTAAAGTGATCATTATTAAAGAACTAAAATATGACTGTCAGGAACCAAGTGTTGTTTTGAATATTTTCTGTTGCAGTCAGATATTATTTTTTTTTTAATTATAGTGGGCTCAGTCCCAAACAAGTTGAACTGCCATGAACTTCAGTAGTTTAGTAATTGATATGCTTTGCAGCTGCGTGCCAGCCAATTTCTATGCTTAATTCTATTTGAAAGTGTCATTTTCATTTTTTGGAAATATTTTTGTACTGGATTAGGTTAAAGTACAGTTATTTTAAGTAAGTCTTAAATGCATGAAACCATGCTATCAAGCACAGTTGACAAGGTAATTAGACCTATCTTTCTTTGCACGTAGAAAAGATGGCTATTTGAACTATTTGTGGGCAATTTTGCAAGTTCATCTGTGATCTGGAGTTTGGTTTAGCAAAGAAATTTTCCTCACTTTAGTCCTTTAAATTCAATGTTCACTTATTTTTAGCCATTTCTGCATTTGAAGTCCAGCCACTTTCAGCTGAAGTCCAAGAAGGTGGAGTAGCTCGATTTGCCTGTAAAATAACAGCAAACCCTCCTGCTACTGTGACATGGGAAGTGAATCGAACAACTTTACCTTTAGTCATGGACAGGTATGTAGAGTTACACATTTTAGCATGTTGTTTATTTCCTGTGATGTTTTTGAGCCTGCTACAAGAAGAAAATCTGAACATTTGCGATGCCGTTACATAAAAAAAGGTTCCATGTGTACTGTATGTCAGCTATTAAAATAGCTAGTAATAGTTATGTTGTTAATGAATTTTAAACAGGCGTATGAGTGCAGACCAGAATCACCTGCTATTGTCTATACAGAAATCATTGGCCAATGGATTGTCGTTGGAGAATTTTGTATGAAAGTCCTCTTTGGGAATGGGAGTTGCTGTGGGATACAGAATGGATGGACTTGGGCTGTGGGGTGGTTTAAACTAGAGGTACTGCTTTCACAGAGGAATTGATGCTGAACCTGTTTTTCTTTAGGGGGCAAATAAAGATTTGTATGTTCAGAAAATTGAGGTTAAACATTTCATGCTAGGGAAATTCTGCACAGGGGGGCTTCTCTTGAATTGATTAACTTGAAGCATACGGCCTACTAGGTTCTTTCGCTGTCCAGATTCTTTGTTGAACTTACTCCTATCCTCTCAGCATGTAACTTTTGTTCAACATGTCTACGATTACTAGCATACAAAGGAAGATATAAAGAGAAACATAAAAATTGAAAGCATAGATGGGTTTCTGGGAACTGTATATCAGTTATGACAGTGTATCAGAAATTGCTACCAAAAATCAGCCAACCTGAATAATATGAATGTAGTAGCTAGCTAAAGGAAGGTTAGGATGGTTGCTTCTGAAGGTGAGAAAGATCTGCTTGTTGAAAGTAAATTCCTCTGCTCTCATCGTGATGCTGGAGGGAATCTCGCCTCTAGTTCAGAGATGTGGGGAGGTGAGTCATATAGAGAGAATGTTTTTGAGTCACCAGCCTGCTGTTCTCAAGTCACTGTAGGTTGTTTGTAAATCAAGTAGTTAATTCCATGATGGTGTTCATTGGCTGAATGTTTATCCATGTTTCTTTTTTTGTTTCTGTGACAGGATAACCGCTCTACCTACAGGAGTTCTTCAAATCTATGGTGTTGAACAGAAGGATGCTGGGAGTTATCGGTGTGTTGCCACAACAATAGCCAATAGACGAAAAAGCACTGAGGCAGTGCTGAGTGTTATTCCAGGTACTCACCATGTGAGATTTTTTTTTTAAAGCCATTATATTCGTCTTTAGATTATAGCAAAAACACTTATATGAGTTGAAGAGCTGTAGCTGTCCTCTGAATCACTTGCCCAAATAATAATTTTGCTTGCTTGTATCCTGTGGCTAAAATACTGTTCAGTGTAAGTTTCCACAATTACTGAAATAAAGCTTTGGTGTAAATTTAATTTTAAGCCTCCTTAAAAAAAGGTGGTTTTATTTTCTATTTAATTGAGCTTTTATTTAATTGTTCTCACTTTCTTTGATTATTTTTTTAATTTTTTTTTTTTCCTCCAAAGCCTCAGACTTGAAGCCTTTTCACAAGCCATCTATAATAGCTGGTCCTCAAAACATTACCGCATCTCTTCATCAAACCGTCATACTGGAGTGTGTAGCCACAGGGAATCCAAAGCCAATCATCTCATGGAGCCGGTTAGGTAGGTCTTAAAATTACAGCATGTGACCTTCAGCCTGTGGAGAGGAAGTGAAACTGGAAAGAAAGGATTTCAGCAATTAGGTTACTGTGCTGAGGCTTCATGTAGTAGGTAATGATTAGGTTAGGGTGGGATAAGTGAAACATACTTCCATGCTGCTTTTAAGAAGCCCGGAGGTTTTCTGAGGCTTCAGACTTCCCTCTTCTGCTGTGAATCCTGCACTGCCTCCAGCACTGTGTGGGCAAGGTGTCAGGTAGAGTGGTGACCTCCAGAGATCTGTGACTTGGAGTAGAATCAATGGTGAGTTAGGGCAGGTTGGAGTGGTTTCATCCTATGAAACAATCCTGTAAATGTTTCTCGCTCTCTTCTTAGAAGCAGTATATGAATGTGATTTGGACCTTGTGTTAATGGGCAATTTGGACTATGGACAGGTTTAGTCAGACCCCAAATAGTCTGCCTGGAAGGGGAGAAGAGAGGGAATGCAGTAAGAATAATAACATTCATCAGTGCATCACATTTTTCCATGAAACTACCTCTGCTTTTATTCCGACATGTACCTAACCGTGAATGGCAGGACTGCACCTTTAGAAGCATGAAATGTTTTACATTTTTATTTCTAAAAAAGGGAGAAATAAACATATATTTCCTGGTTTATTCAATGGCTCTTGTAGACAAACAAGTAAGAAAAAAGTTACCGAACAGTCATAGAGCATTTGCTGTGAAAATAGAAGAAAATACATGGTAATCAAATATACTCATTTTGTCACCAGCATAGTTCCGAAGGAGATTGATGATCCCTGTTTGTAAAGATGATGTGGATGTTGGTAGTGATGAGCTGAATTGTAGTGCAAGGCAACTGGGGAGGCTAACCGGGAAAATGGCATTAGGTTTTTTAGCTGTGATGGTGAATATTAACTACTTACCAAGTGGTGAGACCCAGCAATCTGAATGATCAGATAACTAGAGTGAAGAGCAAAGCAAATGTAAAATGTAAACCTCGGAAAGCTCATCTGTGATTTTTCCTTTGCATCTTTCAACTTTTAAAATCTAATCTGTGCCATTACTGCCCAGGCAATCCTATTTAGATAAGTTAGATACATTGAACGGCCTTGTAACTACGCTTCTCCCACTCTCTCAAATAGATCATAAGTCCATTGATGTCTTCAATACCCGTGTCCTTGGAAACGGGAACCTCATGATTTCTGATGTAAAGGTGCAGCACGCAGGCGTGTACGTCTGTCGAGCCACCATTCCAGGCACACGGAACTTCACGGTCGCAATGGCAACTCTCACTGTGCTCGGTGAGCCTGCTTTGACTTCCACTGGGTGTTTAACAACTCGTGTCTGTCTCGAGATGTGCTATGTACTGTGCTGAATTTTTTATCTCAAACGTAGCTCACCAAGGCCTGTCGGGAGACTGCAGAGATGAAACAGATCACAGAACTGTGGCTGCCTTCTTCTCTCTGTTTACTTAGATGAGAAGTGTCAGATACTCAACGTTTGAGTTATAAACTAGTAGTTCATTTGCACTTGGAGATACCCAGGTGTAATGTTTGCTCTAAGACAGGCTTTCAACACAGAAAAAACTCCTGTAACAAAGCAGAAATATGTAATATATACGTATGCTTTGTGAGCAGTATGTCATAGGCTGGAGTTTGATTTGTTTGTATTACTAAATGCATAACAAAAATGCATAAAATAGTCCTATCTGTGCAAATAGTATGTATCTAAACAATTGTGCTTTGTTTATATGGAATGTGATTTCTGCATGGGTATATGTGTATTTGAGCAGCCTGAGGAGAGAGGTTTGTGTGTGGAAAATTCATTATTATTCTGGCTGTCCTTGAATTTGTATGGGCTTGATTTTTATTTTATTTTTTTCCCCTTGTTACTTACCTGTAGCTCCACCTTCATTTGTGGAATGGCCAGAAAGTTTAACAAGGCCTAGAGCTGGTACCGCTCGTTTTGCTTGTCAGGCGGAAGGAAATCCTGCCCCCAAAATTTCATGGTTAAAAAATGGAAGGAGAATACACTCCAATGGTAGAATAAAAATGTACAACAGGTAAGATTACAATTGCTGTATGAGAGCTATGCTAGTGATATGCTGCCAAAGGATGAAATTACAGTAACTAAAGCAAGATATAACTCATGTAAACATTAAATTGGGCATTAAATGGAGTTATGCTATTTCCTTGGCAGAAATGCAGATTAGTCAATATCTTAGCAAAGCTGTTGTGATTGCTGCCTTACCTGGGGGGGAAACTGAGGTGATTTCACCACAGAGTTACTCTAAATTTACAGTAGTGTAGCAGAGACTAGAATCTTGCTAGCTGTTTGCGGCTCCATTTAACTACTTCAGTATAGTGAACAGCTCATACTAAAGAGTTGGTTAAGATATGACAATCTTACAATTGTGCTTTCTGCAGGTGGGGAATAGACTTACAGGTTTCTTTTCACTGTGCCCGCCTTTGCAGGCAAAAACATAAATATGGCAGGTTTTGAGGAACACTTCCAGTTGCTAAATTTCACAGCTACGCATCTGTTTCTAATAGAAGAGTTTGTGGCGTGCAAGTTCGTTATACAAAATTCATAAAGCAGGGGCAAACATAACTATTTTTGAATTATGTAGAGCTGAGTTTACCTACAATATGAGCTTTTTTCCCCCTTTTTCTTTCTTTTGGATTCAGTAAATTGGTGATTAACCAGATCATTCCTGAAGACGATGCCATTTATCAGTGCATGGCTGAAAATAGCCAGGGATCTATTCTCTCCAGAGCCAGGCTTACTGTAGTTATGTCAGAAGACAGACCCAGTGCACCTTATAACGTCCATGCTGAAACAATGTCAAGCTCAGCGATCCTGCTAGCATGGGAGAGGCCGCTATATAATTCAGACAAAGTGATTGCATACTCTGTGCATTACATGAAAGCAGAAGGTAAGCAGTTTGATTTAAATGCTATTTAACTAGTGTGTGATAGGAACTTGGATGTCCTTGCAAAGACTGTCAAATTTGAATGGTTTGTAACCAGGGCTGCATCCGAGCATACCAGCATATAAATGCATATTGTAATCAATAGACATGCTTGGGGAAAAATGCTTTTGTCATACCATCTCATTTGTGGGACTTGGTGTTCTTCCAACTCACCCTTGTCTGGTCACTCCATGAATGGTTTATCCTAGTCTCTGAAATGAAATACAAATTTCTGTATAAAAGGGAATGGATAGTTAATAAAAATGAGTAACTAGACATTTTAAAACCTCTTAGTATTATGTAATTGCTTTAAGGTAATCTGTAAGGTGATAGAAAACAAGCATTTTTCATAAGTAGGAGAAGTGATTGACAAGCGACTTGAAAATTTGTTAGGTGAATGGCTTAAACTAAGCTGTGATGCAGCTCTGTTTTCTAGGAGTGATTTCTTTTTCCATTTCTATTCAGTAAGTGGTTTATTCAAGGACAGGACCGCAGATGCTCAGCTCTGTGTGGAATACCAGTCTGCCATCTGCTAAGCAGAGGACAGGAAGGACAGCTTAATTACTCTTAATACTGATGCAGGAATAGCTGCCTTTGCTTTTGCAAGTGGGATATTTCAGGACACAAGAGAATTTTGTCGGAAGGAAGGAAAGAGTTTTAGAAGATAATGAGGACAAGAGGTGCGGGAAATTACCCCCCATACTTTCAGTCACTGAGGTATTGTGCTCACAACGCCCTCTTAAAGCTAATATGAATAAAGTCACACTAGATAACGTATCTGGGTAATTGTATGTCCGGTGCTAGTGTAGAGAGTGGAGACCGAATAACTTCAAAGAAAACTATCCTTAGGGAAGTGTATAAGCAGGAAATACTCTTGAACAGAGGTGAAAGGAGGTATCTTCTGAAATGTCTTTTCTGTAAAATCATTTTGCAGTCCCTGCTTCATTTGCTTACTTACTCAAAGGTTATATCTTGTGAAATGAAATTGTAACTTGTCTTGGTTTTAAAAAACAAAACGAACTCCAAATAAAAGCAAGCAACAAAACAAAACCCCTCTGATTTATTTGAACTTGCTTTCTCAAATACCCATTTTTTTTTTTAAATTTTTCCAGACTGTCTTTGGATATTTATTTAGTATAATGCTGTTGCGCATCCTTTCACATTAGTAAGGAAATCCACATAGGTAGAGTGGAGAAGGCTGTGTTAAGAGGAGTAATTAGAGTGATGGGAATCAAAATGTAGGTGATTTCCATGCATTTTTTTCTTTGGTAACACAATTGGGTAGTACCAGAAGATCTGCATCAGGACACAAGACAAAAGTGTTTTTTAATAGAAAAAAATATTGAGCTTCAAAGGCTAGTATGTCTTACTCTGTAAGAATTCTCTATAATTATGGATTAATTATCTAGTTATGTATTAATTAAATAGTTTGTATGAATTGCCTTCTTTATTCCTTTCAGGCTGTCTTTCCCCAGTTCACCCTCACACCCTCTTTCATACCCTAATGAAGATCAAAAATTATCTCAGATGTATCTGAGTTAACTAGAGTATATCTTACTTGCTTAAAGCTTCTCATGTGTAACTATTTACTTTATACATTTGTGTTCATATATTGCTCTTTTGTTTTGCTTAGGAACCATGTTTTTCAGTGTGAGTAAAGAACATTTTATTGCAAAAGAAAAACAGTACTTTTTAAGTCTCCTAAGTTGTAGTGATGTTTGTGATTCCATAAACTTTAAACAGAAAGGAAAACTGGATAATACACATAATATACAGTTCTGTAGAATTTTTTTCTGTAGACTTCACAATGTGGTGGGTGCTTTGAATACAAAAGATACCATCACTTACCCTTCAATTTCACAACTCGAGTAGTCTGATGTTTCACTGTAAAAACAGGTTCAGGTCCTCTTCCCTATTAAAAAAAAAAAAAAGTTAGTGTTTTAATCAAGTTAGTTGAAGAAACTAACAGGTGTTTTTTTGTGTTTTTGTTTTTTGTTTCTTTAAGCAGAATATTTTACATTCAAATCAGGGTCATAGTAGCAAGAAGAATAAGGGTCTGATGAGCGTGCATGTTGGAGTGTGTTAATTCCTTGTTAGTGGTTTAGAAAAGGCACAAAGGGAACACTGATTGTGGTGGAAGGCAAGCCTTGTTCTCTATTATGGCTGTTTCATTAGGGCCTCTGCATGAGGCCTAGCAATCCATTCAATGAGAGAACAAGTCCTTTTAATTTGAGCTCAAGGATCTTGTTTAGCAGGTCAGAAATCGTGCCTTGCAATTCCTAATTAACAAGCCATTAACTAGTCTGTTGTGAGATGCTCGTAATCTTGTCTAATTAAAATGCTATCAAGTTAATTCATAAATGTGGGAAAACTTAATGGTGGAATTTGCCTTTCGTTTTGTTTATAAATTCAGTTGTGAAGAGGAGGAGCTGGCTCTTACAGAGTTTTGATTAAGTTGACGTGCACTTGGTGTGAATTGTTCGTTAACACAGCAGCTTTCACCACACTTATTCCACTTTATAGCCTTCCTCTATAGGAATAAAGCCCAACAAAGACAAGGACTGCTGCATGCATTGCTATGCATATTTTAATGTGAATTGCTGAGAATTTTTCCTTTTCTTTTTTTTTTTTTTCCCCCTTTTTTTTTTTTTAACAACTCACTAAGGAGCCAAACATTTTTGAAGCTCATTCTGGTCAGTTCTTATTGGCCTTTCTCCAAATTAAAGAAAAAAAAAGTGTCAATCAAATGTAATAGAATTTGCAGGGCTAAAATGAGATCCTTCTGCTGAATAAATTCTTTCTGTTTGTTTCTTTGGGGGGTGGTGGTGTTTGTTTTGTTTTTGATGGAGTGGAGCCCTCGCATTCCTCACAGTCTGCTATAGAAAGGCTCTGTAAATAGGTTTTGAAAAAACCTCCCTGACTCTAAACAAATAGATTTAGAAGCTTGGTATGAATGATAAGGCTATTAGAGCTTGTCTGTTGTGTTACTGTACATTGGGCACAGTTTGTTGTGACTAATTCTAAATAGGGTTTAGAATTGCATTCAGCATCCCTTATTCAGGAAAATCCTGAAACACCATAATCTACACCACAGCAAGACACAGTTACTCCTGTGCATAAAAGAGCTTTTACTCAGTAGGGTTGAAAAAATAGAGGTAGGCGGGGGAAGAACATGGAATAACTTTGTAAAATCTTAAAGCCAAGATACTGTGATGTTTAGGGATTGTCAGAAATTTTTGTTTGTCTAACCCTTGTTTTATACTAGGTTTAAATAACGAAGAGTACCAAGTGGTCATTGGAAATGATACAACACATTACATTATTGATGACTTGGAACCAGCCAGCAACTACACCTTTTATATTGTAGCTTATATGCCTCTGGGAGCCAGTCAGATGTCAGATCATGTGACTCAGCACACCCTTGAAGATGGTAAGGCAAATAGCACTGATTTAGGTGAACATTTTAATTTACACTGAATAGAAATGTGCAATCCAGTGCTAATAGCTCTTGAGGATCCCAAACTTCTGTTGACATCAGTGAGACTTCTAGATATGTGTAATGTAAGACTGAGCCAGCTAATGATAGGAATGAGAATAAAATAGCATTCTGACAGGGCATCATTGTATGTTACACAGTGTCTTTTTCTACACTGAAAGACATTCCATTAAATCATGTAAATAACTGTGATAGACCTTTAAGAACTTCCTCAGTGTTGAGAATCTGATTAATTTGGTGATAGCCTAGGATTTATTCTCTCTATGACTCTCTCTTGTGCATCCGAAATGTGAATCAAACTGCATGCCCACTGCATGTTTTGCAAATTTTGAAGGAAAATTTGGAATAAAAGTTTGCTATACCAAAAAAAGTAACTTTTTTTTTTAAATCTATGTGCTTGTTAGTAGAATCAGAATTTCATAAAAGACTCTCCTGACTTATTTCTGTGCAGTGATTTAACTAATCTGAACATCAAGGCAACAACAAACTGTTTAGTATAGTTAATTAGAAGTGATTAATAAATTCTGACAGGGTTAAGCTTTGGCAGCGTGGAACATTGCCAGTTCCAGTTGTCTGCCTGTCTCTTTGCCAGGAGTTACTACCCTCATTACATGGTTGGTGGAAAAGAACATGCGCTGAGTCTTCAACAGTACAGGTTGTTGTTTAGACTCTCAGTTCAAGCTGCTGCATCTAACCTTGACAGTCAGTTTGTCAGAACAGTAAGGTGCTGATTGCCTTTGATTACTCCTGGCAGCAATAAGAGGAGAAAATGTTGAGAGCCTTATGGAAAGGAGTTTGCTAAGTCTATACTGCATGCAGAAGGTGAGAAATGAGAAGTGTGAAGTTATCCTTAAAATAAACAAGATTCTACAAAACTTCTTGGATTGTTTACTCTTACATCTCTGACACCTCATCATAGGCTATGGTGTCAGATGAGAATTTTCCATCTCTTTTCCTGAGGTCAAAAGCATTGTCTTTTCCTTTTAGTTCCCTTAAGAGCTCCTGAAATTAGTTTGACAAGCAGGAGTCCTACGGATATTCTCATCTCTTGGCTACCGATTCCCGCAAAATACAGGAGAGGCCAGGTGGTCCTGTACCGTCTGTCTTTCCGCCTCAGCACAGAGACCAAAGTCCAAGTCTTGGAGCTTCCAGGGACTTCAGATGAGTATCTCCTTGAAGGCCTGAGGCCTGACAGTGTCTACTTGGTTCGTATCACTGCTGCAACAAGGATTGGCTGGGGAGAGGCATCTTTGTGGACTTCCCACCGGACTCCCAAAGCTACAAGTGTGAAAGGTAATTCTTAATATTACCAGCAACCCCGAGATGGGGTCTGTTGCAGGCTTTATCTGGCAGGTAGTACAATGATGTGAAATAGGTTTTCCCATTACATGTTCTGGTGATCTAGAAAATAGTGTTCTAACCATGACTCTGTCCACAACCCTGCAAAACCTTCTGATTCCTTTAATAAATTAAATGCAGTTAATACATAGTTTCAGGATCAAAAGTTGAAGAGGAACTAATCTGTCTTATGAAAGGCCTTATAGTGGCAAGAGAAGGAAAAGCTGATATATTATTTTGGTGTCAATCTTTGATTGTTTCCATATGTTGATGTTCACATATTTGACATGGTGGCCAGAAACTTTAATTCATGTTTGTGAACTGCTCAAATTTTTTAGCTTGTAGACTTGTTTCCAATGGTAACACGGTTTTTCTTCTATATAATTTGAATTAAAAAAAAATCAACAACCCCAAACCCCATTGTTGTTCAGTGTAAAATACCTTTCTGCAAATTGGGACATTATGCATGAGTATTGTGTACAGGTACTTAAAAGATCTAAATTGATGCATGCATGTCTGTATTACAAACAAAATGCAATATGCAATTTGACTTGAAATGCATATATGCAAAACAATATGCAATTTGACTTGATATTTGAAGTCTTCAGTTATAATTGAGCTTTGGATTACATTATTATTTAGTAATGTCATGCAGAAGAACATTCAACTTTGCATGAATGGCTTGTAAAAGATGTAGATTTGAATTTGTAACTTTATTTTTTAGCTGTAATACATATCTATCCACTGGATTTCATTGAGTTTTGACTGCTATAAAAATTATTAGCACTTGATGAACTGTCATGTTATTATTAATCACATTTGCTCTGGCACACTTTAAAACAGGAGGTAATTTTATAACTGTCTTTGGAGTGTTTTCATTTTTCTTTGAAAATAACTACTGTATAAATATAATTAATTGATTAATTAAGATGCAGAATTAAAAAATGTTTCTATTCTGGTTTATCCTAAATTAAGTTGTTAGATTAGCTTAAAGGGAATCAGACATCATAATAAAGAAACAGTTGTGTGAGTCCACAGATGAGCTAGTATTAAAGTCTTGAGTGAATTTTGGACTGATGGGCGTCTAGATTTTTGTGTGAAAATTAGTTTTTTTCTAGAATATAAGAATATTATATGTATTTCTCTAAAACCAGCACCAAAGTCTCCTGAGCTGCGTTTGGAGCCAATGAACTGTACAACCATTATAGTGCAGTGGCAGCAGGACTCCGAGGACACTGCAACTATTCAAGGGTACAAGCTGTACTACAAGGAAGAAGGACAGCAGGAGAATGGACCAATTTTGTTGGGTGCCAGTGATCTTGAGTATACTGTCAGTGGTTTAGGTGAGTATATAAAATATTTCTTAATTGTTCTGGAGGACAGTGAAGTAGAAGGACATCTTAGAGACCTTAAATTGTTAGACCTGTAAGGAAACAATGCTAGGTTTCGCCACCTATTTTCCTAGCAATAAGCTTCGCAAGTTGAATTACACCGCTGATGGAATAATCCTCTCTCAAAATATGTTGTACAACACTTAGCAAACCAGATCTTGCAACTTTTGTGTAAGTTGGAAGAAGGACGCTCAACTACTTATGAGAAGGTACAGAACTTATAGTTAGTAAATATTGATAGTAAATGGCATGGATCTTCAATATTCGGTTTAATACTAATTTTTTTCAGTTTTTGTATATTTATGCCTGATCTAGTAACCGTGAAATATTAATACAAAATACCAAAGCTTTTCCTTTCGTATTTCTAGCTTATTTGTAGCCTTTGTGACAGCTACACTGCACAACAGCACTGCTTGCTCACCATAGTATCTATTAGGCCTTGTGCATGTTATTATCCTGTTATTTTTTTTAAGGAGTACTGGTAAATATTTGCAGGACTAAGCACAAAGATTAGGGCACAGAGCTTCCTGAGTCCCATTGGAATCTTTCCATTGATCATCTGACTCTGTTTCCTCCTGTAGCTCTTGTGATGTGTATTAGTACAAATGTGTTGGTAGTATCCCTAGGTAGAAGGTGCTTCTATTTACATATATAACTGAGAATCTATTTCATAAAAATATGTGATCTACAGTGTAATCAGCAAAAGTAATACAGGATTTGACACTTAGTGTTTGAAGTGTGTTAAGATAGTTTGCTTAGGGGTAGTGTAGAGAATTAATCTTGACTAAGTTCTCAAAATTGACATGCAGTCTTACATACATCAAATGGCCTCTTGACCATGCTCAGGTATTCTCATCTGCTGCATACAGTTGAGATACTATTTTAGGGGAGATCCGAGGAGAGCATTCTGATCTCTTAACTGGACAACTGACCATCTGTGACCATTTCTAGCCAGAGCATCTGGCAGCAGCTGACTGTTTAACAGAGTTGTGAGACAAAAGAGCAGTGGGTTGAAAGGATGTGGTGTCTGTGTGTCCTAGGACATACATGCATTTTTTTTTTGGTCTCCTCATTATGCAGTGACAAAGCAGTCATTTCAGACATGTGCACACTTATTAGCTGTGTGATCCACATCATATGGATTTTCTCAGTACACTAATCCTCAGATTAAAATATTATTTTAAATAATTATTTTAGAATGTATATTAACTGTGGGTTTTTATTGGTTTATCTTTCCAGTAAGCATGTAGACAGAGGGAAAACAAAAGCAAAGTGAGTTTAGGACATTACAGCTTTTTCACAGTCACATTGTTACTGAATTACAAGAAGTGTGGGCATGGAAGAATTCACGTGCTTGAGTTAACCGTTCAGTCATGGTGCACGTGATGTGTTTAGTATTTATGCCTTATCAGAATTCTGAGTATCTAAATATGATTACCAAAACTTGATACATTCCATGTAATCTGATTGCCATAATTTGTATTTTTCAAATATAAGTAATTTATGCTGCCATAGGTTAGATTCCACTGAAGAGTATTTTTTTTCAAATAACTTCAATAGAAGTTAATATTTTTTTTTTTTCATTTTTAATGGGATGTGTTGAGTTATTTGAAGTACATATTAAATGGGACATTTTCCTGTGTATGGTTTTTTTCTGGTTTCTTATTTTTGTTCACTTTGTAAAATTCACAGAAAAAGCCATTCGTTGTTACAGCTACAAAAGACTTGCTTGGCACAGGACATTCGATTAGGTCATGATTTTCCACTGCTAAGATGATTACATATGTTGAAGCCTGGGAAGTTCACATAGACTTCTCATACTGACAGTGCCTGTCTGACTACTGTATTTGCCCATTGAGAAGCTGCCTGTTTGAAATACTTTTGCACGCTAAATTATTTCTTAGAAAAAAGTACTCGCCCAACTTATTTCTGCCTATGGCAGCTGCACATGGGAATAATACAGCACGTAAAATTACATGCAATATATAAACCCACAAAGACCCTAGCAATGTTCACGCATTAAGAAGGGGACAGATTTCCATTTCTTTTTATTTCTTGTGAATAATCTACATAATTTGGACAAGGTTATTTTTTTTATTCATTTCAAGTTTAAAATATTACTTATTAAGAAGTGGTCCTACCTGGCAAAATTTGAGATAAAATAAGGAAAGCCACTGTTCTAGGTTTTGTGACCATGGTAAACTGACTCTGCACAAACTGGACAGAGGCTTTGAGGACTAATGTTCTGTCATCCATTTGCCTCTCCTGAGGACACTAAACTACTGATTTATTGACAGCCTCTTTAAAATAAACTTCTTCATTAGGAGCTACAGGAGTTAGTAGAATACTGCAAGTATGAAACCTGAAGGGGAAAGATGTGCATTAATATTTTTGGTTTCATATATGTTGAATAACATGGTCAAAAGAAGAGGTTATTATTCCTAATTTGGAAGAATATGCTAATAGTGTTAGGTACTTCTCAGTGGCAAAGATGGAGTAGTTTCTCATGCATTATCTGTTGCTGCTGAAGTTATTTGGCTTCTGAACACTCCATCTTCATGTCTTAGTTTGTCATGACTTAAGGCTGCTCTACCATTCCCTTGCATAGTTAATAAACTGCAGATAGACTTCTAGTGACATTTGGAGCATGTCAATATGTCTCTCGATGGAACTTTCTGCAGATGTTGATACAACTGCCAACTGATTGTTCAAAATCTGTGTATTTAAAGGACAGTTCACTTACTCTTTGGCAATTGAAGTGCATCACATAATCAGAATTCATAATATTATCTAATCAAAGAGAACATTAGCATTCATATTATAAGCACTGTTGATTGCATTGATTGTTGATAACATTGATATAACTACTGTAAATGATTTGCAGTCTACAGGACTCTTGATGGAGAGATGAGTATGATGGGTAAAGCAGAATCAGCAATGCTAGTGTAAAACAGGTTGCAAGGACTGAACGTGAAATATAGGAATATGAATATTATGCTTTAGGTTTTAGTCTTTTGGTGGTTCCTACCTTGTTTTTTGAGAACTGACCTCTTACTCCAGTGTAGGTTTACCCAGCTACTTCTGTGTATTTTTAAACTGGATTATTTAGCACGATAGTCACCATGTAAATAGAATTAAATGATCTGATCAGAGTCAGGGCTGCCATTCTTAAAATAAATATCCACAGTTTCACATAGACATTTGTTTGTGTGAAAGGTCTTGGCATTTATTTTTCAATCACAGGCCATTTCCTAGTCCAGTGTAAAATTCCATTATCACTTGAATTTGCCACGGGAGCAGACCCTTGGGTGCATACCATGCATTTTTGCCTCTATTTTTAATTCCTCCTTTGCTTCCTCCTGCTCTAGAAAATTTTCCCTAACAGAAAGTCTTTCATTGTGAGGCTTGATGAGTCTGCTGGTACGGGTTCTGTTTCTGTAATGTTTCAGAATATGCATGTTCAGAAATTGAAGTGAGTTCTTTTTGGTGGAAGAGTTTGTTTGGGAACCTTCTTGCTCTGTAACAGGAGAGGAATTGGCAAAACTTGTAAGTTAAAACAAAGGGAGTGTCCAGAGAAGTTTAAATGTCTTTAAATTATTTTTTTTCAAGGAGTATTTTAATCATGTGCATATGTATCTCTGCCTCAATGTTGTTGCTCACTGCTGTCCTCCGTGGACTGTTTGCCAGTCACAGCTCATTGCAATTGCAGCTATGTGACCAGTACGAAAGTGGGACCTATGCAAGATGGCCAGTGACTCAGAAGAACCCATTTTAAGCTTATCTAGTTTATTGGAGCCAGGAACTTTTCATAACCAGGTTGTAATGATGATAAACATCTCATCCTGGAACCTGTATCTAGGGAGAATAAAATCAAATTCAGCTTCTTGGTTAACAAACTCAAGAAAGCATCATCAATTCTGATGCTGTAACATGAGAACACTGTTCTTCAAGCTGCCTGGAAGTTTCCCTCTCTGAACTTATTTTTTATTTTTCAGTTCTTATCATTCTAGCTAGAGCAATATTTTTACTAATTAAATGAAGGCCACTAGTGATGGGGGAATGCAATGTGTTCTTGTGCCTTTAATACTTTCTACGCTGGGAGGAAGGGAGGAGAGCAAGAATTCACTCTGCTAAGTCATCCTGCCGTAGTTGCTGTCTCGGAGCTATACCACCTTGAGTGCTGGTAGTTACAGTGAGGATTTCAGAAGGTTGCACTTTGGTGTCAAGTCCAACGTGAGGTCTCACTAAATGCGCACGAAACCTTGAGGCAAGTGGGTTGTGGCAGAGATGTGTGCACTTTAGGTGCTCTTTTGTTTCTATTGCATACAAGATGATATCGCAGTAAATAACCGTTTTCAGGCAGACACCTTAGGGTATAGAAAAACTGGTCTGTTAGCTTTGGTGAAAATGCCCCGAGCATGGGAGCCCACATACCTTGGCCTTTCCCTGGTGAAGGCCCCTCTCGGGCAGAGCCTGCGGAGTGGCATGTCCTATGCTGGGACCTGCAGCCCCCAGGAGCACTGCTGGGTCCCCAGGACCTGACGTGCTTGCAGGCTGCAGGGCACTGGGGAGAAACTGCAAAATGATTTGATGGCCCTGAAATGGAGTATATCTACTTTAAAAAAAAAAAAAAAAAAAAAAAAAAAAAAA